TGGATGCGTATTGTTTATACAAAGTACGTAATATTATTCCTCTGACACGATGAGTGCAGGTCGTTATGTATATACTGTGGTCTGTGAACGTTGTAAGTCTTGCAGTGTTATAATTTCAAGTATATTCAACATTTTTATGGTGCAATAAGTATCTACATAATATCTATAGAAGGAATATCGAATTTTGGCAGTTGGTTTTTATATTATGAAATTGACCGTCTTTCTTTAGTAGGCAAATGGGAAATATGTAACACAACCCCATAATTCATATATAGTATGTACCTAGGTATAATATAGGTACAATATATAGACTATAAGTACGTTTACAAATATTCGGAAAAATTGTTTTTCGCTTTTTAATTTGTATACATAATATAGGTATACAGGATAGGTATGACAGTTTGAATTACGACAAAATAATATTTTATACAGTTTTTCCTGTAAAATAATTAATATGCATGTTATACATTTAATTCAAGAACAAAAATAGTCAGTATTTAAAATGCACAAGTCAAAATACCTAAGATCAAAATATCTAATTTATAGGACGAATCCAATAAAAATCCAATGATATGCATGTTATATAGTTTTAAGAAAAATTACTGCTTAATTACTTCAAGTATATTATTGTTCACCATATGTATACTTTATTATAATTTATAATTTATAATTCATCACTGCAGGCACTTGGCAATCATAAACAAATCAATTTTTTTTTTAAAGTGTTGTAGATTTTAATTTCTTAACTCAATAATTTATCCGTTGGATACCCCAGAAAGAACTATATATTTGTCATAATATTTTTACTAGCATCTGAATACATTATCATAATTATTATTATTTAGTAGATAGTATGCAGATCTCATCAATCGGCCGATATTTTATATTGCAGTCACGGGTCAATCAATTATGGCAGTTCGAGTGTTAATGTATATTGGTAGTGGTTATAATATATAGGTAGGTAGGTTAATAATTGTTCGGTTCGAGTTCGTTCTGCAACCAGCAAATGCGACTAAACGGAAAATCTGTTTACTCATTGTGCTGTATATCATTATATGACTATGTTATTTCGTAGGTATAAACACTAATGATTGCAGTTATATATTATGCGTGACAAATAAAATATATATATATGTATATCCACGCATGCTATCGGTGAATTTCGTGAATGGAATTTTTTTCTTGTGCACGTTTACCCTTACAAAAACAAAAAAAAAATTCGGACAATAGTTACCCAATTATTCAAAGTATCTAATACCATATACGCACACCGCAGATAAACAACGCGCAAAATATTATTCGAAGTGTTTCGAACTATAAAAACCAAATGTCCGACAAATATAGTTTATAAGGTATATTATGTATTTGAAGTTTAGATGAGAGACAGGGTTGTGGACCAACTTTTTTTGGAATTTTGTGGGGTAGGTGCGCTAGGTACTCAAGTAGCATTCCACACTCAGCTCATCAAAACTTTAAATACCCTATAACTCATATCAGATATTTGACAATAATTTGATTTTCATACATCTAAATACTCAAAAAAATATTCTGCTTTAGAGTGACGAATTAAAAATGCATTTTGTCATTAAAAAAAAGTAAAAATAGTAAATAATATAATTTAGTAAGAAACTTGTTTTTCAACGACTTACTAAGATTATGTGAAAAAAATATTTTCATAAACGTTAATAGTTTTTGAATTAATGAATGTCTTACGTTGAATTGATAACTCGGTATATTATGTGATACACAATACATATAATACTATCCATAAATACATTGCCTATTTTACTATATTATATTGTCTTACAATATAGTATAATATAATAATATGTACCTAAACCTATTATCGTATGTCGAATCGCGTTCGATTCGCGTCGAATATACGTACCTGCCTACACACAACGGCGCCGCTGCACAGCACACGACAATAATATATTATATTATACGCACTGACCGTGATGACGACTGTGACACGCGCCATTTGAAATGGGGTCCTTGTTAATTGGCTACACTTTCGATTTCCCAACCCGTCCGACCCACGAAAATCGAATTACCCACGGCGAAGGGGTCGCGGGCGGTCACACTCAATGATATAAGTGTTAAAGTGTGCGATCGGTTTCGCATAAGTCGTTACCACGTACCCACTAGTATTATACATTATATTATAATATCCGCGATTAGACGGCGTCTGTTTGTTTTTGTTTTTTTTTTTTTTGAAATTCGTTTTAGATTCAAAGAAAACGACGCGCGTACACTTTTTCTGTTCCGTGACGTCACAACCTACACGAGACGATATCACTGCTCAGTGACACGTGATTTTCGACGACCAGATGATGCGGATGTTATAATGTATACATTTGTGCGTGGGGGGGGGGGGGGGAAATAAAAATACTTCTAATAGGCTATACAAATAAATGTATTTTAGCTGACAGACGTTGGACTCTGAGTACCTATTATACATTATAATTAAGTATTTTTAATAAATAGTACAAGTACATTTTAACGTGATTGGTGTAAATCTTTAAAACAGAAACTTTTAACCTTTGGGGAGTTTTTATCAAAACAATATTTCAAGACTTTCATATCATATTATGCATTCATATGGCTATGACTCAATAGGTTGACGATTATAATATTATCCAATCTATTATTTTATCACGAGAGATCCTACTGAATTATACCTATTATATGATTGTATTGTGTGCTTTGTGCTTACTACATTATATTATATAAGATCCCAATGGCCGACGACCTAAATATAATTATATAGGTACAGTGTTTGAATTTGAAAATATTATAGAAATGGGACTGTCGATTAAAATAAATCAGTGGCTCTTGAAGTGATTGAATTCAATATGACTGTTTTTTGGGGAAGGGGTGAAGTACATTATACCCCGAGTTATCGATTCTCAAACTTATAACTATACCTTAATATATGAGTTGGCCAATAATGATTACTTATAATTATAAACAATTAAAATAAATATATATTGTGCCACTGCTGTTTAACTATTTAATAGTATTTATAACATTGTTTCCTCAATTTGTACCGCTATATAATTTAAAGATTAATTTAATATTACGTTGTGTTATTGCAGGTCACTCGTTTTGTTTAGTGAACGTAACAAAATCTAGTGCGTTAATACAGCATTACAGCCATGTTAACACAATGAATAAACAAATAAAATATACAAAATTGATAACATTTTGAAAATTCTTTTTCGATTATTTACTGTGGTTTTGGTTTCTATGGTTTATACAAGCATGTACACCTGCAAGTTCCACGTTCTTATCGTGGTTCAAGTCTCGCGTTAAATGTTCAATTTTTTTTCAACTTTTCAGCAAGTTGAGATTTTATCGAAAAGCCAACAATTTTATACATTCATTAGGTTTTTACACTTTTTATTACAATTGTCCTTATATTATTATTTCTTATTACTGTTAAATTATTTCAGTTATAATAGTAACTATTAAACAGCCTAAACTGCTATATTATAGTAGTTTCGATGATCAATATACATTTAATTCGATTATTGTTTTTTATCACATGTATAGGCGGGATATACTTTAGCCATAATATTTATTAACTACCGATTTATGCTTTTTTATATTTATCTATACTTATGTAAACGACAATAAAGGCTCATTAAACGTTTAGTGTTATATAAAGTCTTAAAACTTTTTACCTGACACGTGATTGGCTCATTAAGTTATTATTTAATTTTTATACAATTAAAAACTTTCTACCATATAGTTAAATTAAGGATAAAAATAAAAATAAGAATTATAAATAAGCTTTGAATAGGATGGTTATATATTTTTATTTTTGTTTACGTCTATTTTAGTCGAAACTTGTAATTCAAATGTATTCACTTGTTGAGCTATAATTATAAATAGAAGCTAATTAAAAAAAAAAAACAAATTTATTTACTATGCTACAATTTTTCAACTTTTTTCAGAATTCAATATAGATACTTTATAATTGAGATCATTTAAAAATTGCAAAAAATGAGTTAAAAAATAAAATGTATAAAAAGTGTAAAATAATTTTATATTTATCGTTCAATGAAATCGTGTGTTTAGAATACGATGCAATAGTGTGCATTTGGAAATAAAAACTAAATTTTACGACCTCACATAGGTTCATAAATCTAATACATTTATTACAGTATACATAAGCAATAAATTATACTCTATAGTAATTCGTTGATTAGTTAATTCAAGTGAATGAATGTTGTTTGGTTATTGTTGTTAAAAATATCTTATAAAACGTAAGCCAGCGATTATTTTACAGAATGTAATGCTTATGTTAAAATATTATAAGAGGACGCCTCACCCATATTTATATCAAACTAAAAAAAAAAAACACCAACTTCCAACAAAACACGGATGTTGTTACTTGTTACCTCAGTTAAGTTTAAAAATAGATCAATTTGTCCTAACATTAAAACTGAAGGGACTAAATATTAGCCGCCGAACGTAAATTTGATATGTACCTAGTTGCAGAACAGCGAAATAGCAAGCGTGAGTGTCCTCTTAAATACGCCATAACTCATAAGTAATACTTATGAGAAATCAAAATACTACAACTATGGCGGTCGGCCTATTCGATTTCCTTTAAAGTTGCAAAGTTCGTGTGAAAAGCCGAAAGAAATTTTACCACGCACATAAGAACCCTCGGATAGTAAGTAATTTTTACTATTATTATGGAAGAATGCACAGCACCTCTCCCCCATTGCTCACTAAACAAAAATCGGCCTATAAAATTTAAAAAAAATTGTCCTTTTACATTTTAACTGTTGTAATTGGTCTTTGAAACTATGAAAATAAATAACAAATTGTAACGTCTTTAAATCCCAGTATAGGAACGGGGATAATTGAAAATTCTAGTCCGATCTATTACGTACTATACTATAAGTATTTAGTCAAGACTAACAAATTATATTATATAGGTGTTGGTATTGAGTTATAATAAGTTAATAAATTGGCAACAAACTCACTTTTGAAAGCCCACATTTTGCCGTTGCGCAGGGCCGCCTGGTAGAGTTGCACATGCTCGGCGCACAGGGACGACACGGCAGGCGTGGCCGTCAACTCGTACGGGTCCCAGAATCGGAACAACTCTTCGGGCCGTGTGACGTTGCCGCCTGGCCACCCTCGGCGGTAGCTGGACGACCGCACGTACTCGGGATATTTGACCGACCGGGCGACAGGGCTGGTGCCGGCGGGCGATGCGTCCTCTAAGGCAGCGTCGTATTCTTCGGCGGACGCGGACGCTTCGCCGCTGTAGGCTGCAGCCGGCACCGATCCGCAGTTGGTCAGCGGCTGGTGATCCGCTGCAGCGTCGTTGACTGACGCACCGCCGTCGTGACCGTGGCCGTCCGAGTCTTCGAACACCACCGAATCCTCGAGGTCCTGGTAGAGTTCGGCCACCCGGCCGCCAGAGTTGGTTCCGTCGGCGCTGGCCGCACCGCCACCGCCGTCGTCTTCTCCGCGGTCACCGCCGGTCAACTCTCCCGAGTCGGAAGCCCGACTGCCGCTGTCGTCATCGTCGCCGTCCACCGGAGACGAAGCCGTAGTGGCCGTAGAGTTTTGAGACGTCCCGACGTCGTGCAATCGACGTCCATGCTGTTCCGTTTCCGAGCTGTTCACCGTCGTCGGCGTGGACATTGACGGCCGCAACGCCGAGGCGAACATCAGCGCCCAACAGCAGCACCATAGTAACGTTTTCATCGCTCGCGATTTCGTGTGTATTCACCGACTCGCGTGCTCGACACGTATAATATGTCTATATAATATTGAGTGCAGACCGTCAAACGGCACTTCGTATAAGTACGTTGCGCGATATAAAATATGCGAATCGATACTGTCGATATAATTTATCGCTGCGCGCTATGACGACCGTGCCGCGTCAGACGTTTCGTGGATACTGATACGCGTCGGGTGGCCGGAGCCGGATCACGTATGCTCGAGGATCTGTTCAAACGGGCGGCGGCGGCGGCGGTGGTCTCCGCGGGCTCGGAATTTCTGTTTTGCGCGCGCAAACCGACGCGAGCAGAGGGAGGCGAGGCCGTGGCCGGTGCAGTTGTCTGTCCGGCTCGAGTTCTGGCGCGGACGGGCGCGTTGGATCTCGGGGCCGGGGACCGTGTCTCGCCACCGATAGGTATATGCCTACCACCACTCCGGTCGCGGTACATTGCATATATTATTATTATATACGCGGTTCCGGTTGTCATTCCATTGCGGGTTTTTCCAAGAACATATATAGTGTTAAACAGTTTGTTATTGTAATTCGAACTCGCGGAATATTTTATAGGTAGCTGCACACATTATAACATGTACGAGATACGTATCTTGAACGTAACCGTGTTTTATATTAGGTACTACAACTACTAACAATAATAATAATAATAATAATAATAATAATTAATGTTATTTACGAGACGGTCTGGCAACTCGTTCAATAACTGAAATTTATCGCGTGAGGGCATGCGTATAACACGACGCACAGAGGTATATACGACGTTTGTATACAGTACCTATTTATGAGCAGTTGGTAACCATCGTGGTCTCATCGACGGTTATGGTTAGTAACCATCATGCTATCATAGCTGAAACTTGTAATGCGACCGTATGAGTTTACGACGTGCGTGTGAATATATTTTTGAGCTTCCTCGTATTTATAATGTATTATGTACAAATTGTACAATTCAAGGGCATTTGTTTTTATATAACTTATCATAACAATCGGGACGATGCACAATATTCGAAAAGCACACTCGTTTACCTTTGGTTGACATATTTTCACGACTTTATCTCAAAAAAACCATCGCATCATATCGTGCCTGCATAATATTACGCAGGTAGGTACCTATATCATACGACATACACTCGAGTATACTGTATAACATTATGATTTATAACGACTGTACATGGACAATACACCGTTCCGCAACCGTGAACATCTCTGTGTCACCGAACATTGTACTTATTACTCAATCGAGCACTATATTTTGGTCATTTGTGTCTGGAGAGTTTTTTCTCTCATTTAATTATTATTTTTTTTTTGTATTATTAAAATGTCCGGAAAACTATAATCTTGAGGGTTTTAATCGTAATAGCAGGGACACGATGAAAATAATATCCGAAATCACGTCCGCGCCAGTATGGATTTTAAACGAATTTGGGTTATAGACAATTTTTTCGAAAATTACAGCGTTTTACAGCGGCGGCCAGCGTCGGCGAGTTGTCTCCGTCATCTGGCGGCTGCGTAATGTTTGTGATCGGCGATCGGCACCCGCGGCGACCATGACTGCACAAATGATATTATTATTATTTTGTCGTACGCAACCGTCACTTTTACCCAACCAATACTGACGTCGTGTAAACATATTTCGGAACAGATTACACTTGAACACTGTCCGTATTGTGTGCATAACTATGTAATATAGGTACATTACATAGTTATTCAATATTTGTGTGTACAGGGTGTATTCAGTATATTCACCAAGCAAGCTCACCCCACCCTCCTTTTCTGCTTTAATTATTTACTCAGACAAGTTTTATACATTTTAAATGTTTATAGATTAATTATAATAATTAGTAATTGATAACCTATTATATTGTCTACGAACCTAATATCCTTAGTACGCGAAGTCAAAATAACTCAAAACTACTAAAAATATATTTGTTTTACAATTAATAGTAAAAGCTTGGTTCCCATTTGAAAAAAATAAGTTATTATCATCACACTACACTTTTTAAATTATATAAGAAAATCAAAGTACCTACCAATTTAAAAATCTGGACCGTAAGTAGGTATATTTAAAACAAATCAGAATTTAAAAAAAAATAATTATTAAAGAAAAAAGAGAGTGAGCGTTTTGATGTTTCGTCCTGTATAATGCATATTTTTATTAGCTAATATTATAATAGAATCAATATTATGAGCGGTGTGTAGTTTCATAATTCATACATGACACGGCTGTAAACTGTTATAAGGTTCTGCCTGTATTTCCAGGCACTTTTCGAATTTTTACCTCATTACCGACATTGTTTCAGTTGAGCCAAACACCGGTCTGACGGAAAAATGTCATAACTTATCAACGGTCGTGGTCAATTTTAGAAGTAAAAAACATATATGTTAGGTAAGGTTATTCATCTTACCGTTATAATATAACAACATTACGTATAATATCAATAAACGAAGTCCAACATTACGAGAGCATATTTAGATTTTAGATATTATAGGGTGACATGTAGCCGAGGAAATGATTCCAAGTAAGTGTGTAATGTAATAGGTAGGTAGGTAGATAATTCATTGAAATATCCGATTGTGTATAGGAGTACGTGTTTTCGACTTTTCGTTAGTTGTCACTTGTCTGCATACTTGTCAGTTGTCACGAACACTTTCAGTACCTACTTGGCTACTTATATCTTATACAAGGTATTAACCGGTATTCGTTGAAGACGAATTTGGTGGTATTTAATAATCACTAATAGGTATAAATAACTATAGGTACTAGTCAGAAATTGGAAGAAACAGAATTATATTTCTTTTTTTTTATTTCGCATTATTATACTATAGCCTATATAGGTATAGAACTGATTTTATATTATTGGAAAATCTTTCTGACTCGGCTATGCAGACATATCATCAAGCATAAATGATCATATAACAGCGATTTAAGTACATCGTAAATCGTAATCGATTAATATGGCGGTCGGTTTCCAGTAGAAACAATTCACAAAAAAGTAAATGGTCAATAACATCTTGGGCGTGGTATAAAATGTACACCCGTGTGTGATGAGCACGTTTATTGTGTTATATAATACTTATTAATAACATTATATACATTTATACCACTTTATGATATATGTGTAATATAAATTCTATATTCAAGAATATTTGGCCAACATTATGACGACGTGTAAATATTAATATCATTATGTTTTTCTGAACATATCGAGAAGAAATTATTGTATTACCTAAATAATATTATTTATTTATATATGTTAATTAAATAAGCACATTTCCCAATAGTACAGTTCGAATGCAAAAACCCATACTAGGTACCGAAGGTGTACCGTCATTTGCGCATGGTAATTTCAGCGCACGTCAATTGAGCGTGGTAATTATAGCGCACGACAATTAAGCGCATACGACATATTGGCGATCGTCAAATTAGCGCACACTACATTTTAGCTCGCGACAATTCAGCGCAATTTAAAAATATCTAATTGAAAGGATTTCCGTGTTATCGACAGCAGAAGTTATTATCTATTGGAGTCTAGATAATCGAAATAATCTGATATAGGTAGGTAACTAGTATAAAATAATTGTGCGGTCAGTATACGTCTTTCAACATTCAACAACAAAATGTCTGTACTACAATATATAGCAAGTCAAAGAGGAAAACAATTATTAGTATACAAAAATTATATTCATAGACAGGACAGACGAGATGAAAATAAAATAATTAGGAAGTGCAATGAAAATCAAAAGTGCCCAGGACGGGTACATGAATCAGAAAGTAAGTACCTACACACCAGTTATGGCATTCAATAAGTGTAATTTAAGAATACTTTTTAAACGAAAAAATACTTGTAATATGTAGGTATTGTCGTAAATACGTATACATGTCTTGTCACAAAATTATTTAAAACAATTATAAAAAGTTTCAATGAATAACAAAATACTAAGTCTTAAAAATAAAAAGTATTCAGAACTCGTGCAAATTAATTATTAAGTTATTTATATTTAACTTTAAACTATATATATATATATATATATAATTTTAGATGATATTATATTAAAATATGTAGACCATAGTCATTTATCAGACGTTGCTAAAATTCAAGCAAAGAAAACAGTCGAAGAAATGAAAACTCTTGCTAGAGAAAACAGTTTAACAACTCGTGCCATTCTTGGAGAAGGCTCTTCACAGGTACAATAAAAAAAATATTATAAAAAGGGCTCGGATGTTTGTGCACTTAAAACTATGCATGCATTTATACACTAAAAAATTATGAAATATGCAATCAAAATATATGCTAAAAACATGTATCCAGGTGAACATTAAATTGGATAAATATAAAAAACATAAACATCCGAGACCTAATTATAAATTAGTATTGTACATTATTGTATAATATTGATAATACATTTTATTTAGTTATCTGAATTGTCGTGAGCTAAAATGACTGCGCTAAATTTTCATGGAACCGGTACCGAAAGTCCGAAACATAATCGTACTTTAATAATGTAATCCGATACTCGTATTAATATAATATTATGTATATTATCATATTATGGCTAACCATTTCGACATTACTGGTTTGATTTGTACATTTGTACATCACAAATGATTGCAATGCCAATATGAACGGACAATATTTTTTGAATTAAATTTTTAGGTTCAAGTAGTGGTTTCGACGATAGGCCCTTATTAGGGTATTTTATGCCTCTAAAAATGTGTTAAACAATCAATAATCATTACAATATTATAAAGTGAACTAAAAAGTATTGAAATGCTACACCATAGGTACAAGAGGTATAATTTAATATTTCCTGACTATACGTAGTCGCACACTCGTACGCATGTGATATTATCATGAGATAACATTGGCAATATACAAATTGTGGATTACAGGATTAATGATAATAAAATCCCAACAGTCTTAAAGGTATTATAAATTACAATCTAACCTATATATTTTTAAATCGAATGCTGCTCGCATCATCGCATAACGTGATATTATAACTGTCATACAGATACAGGGTGCTTTTATTAATTTTTTATTTTACACGTTGACTATAGGTCTCCATAAACGATTATCCATACATTTAAAAAAAAATACGATCTTGTATTTGTGACCACCCCACGTTTCTGAAAGTAGTTGGCATGTGTGACCGCAAAAACACCTTTAAACCCACCCCGCAAACTTGTATTATATTTT